CTGCCAAGCCTGCAAGCGAAATCCTGCTGCAGGAGATCCTTAGATCTGAGTGCAAATAAAGCCATAAAATTTTGGGGAAAGGTGATATGGAGATTGCTGACTGCAGTGCAGTAGGTGCCTAGCTTCATGTTATCTTTTGGCTCATCAGCAAAAGGAAAGTTTTCAACTTTGAAGACATGAGTAAAACAAAAAAAAAAAAATCAAACAGAAGTTAAATTGTATCATGAAATCCAGCATGCTTTATCAAAGCATTGTCTGGCAGCTGCCAGAGCCATTGATTTAGCAGATTTTCTGCAGCCATGTTGCAGAATAAAATAAAAAACATTTAAAGAAAACTCTGTTCTGCTCCACCTTCCTTTTTTGATTCGGTTTGGAAGCTGCAACAGCATGTCCTTCAAGAACTTCTCCATTTCAGAGGCATTCATGGACTCTTCCATACAAATATTAATTTTTTCCCATTCTGATGGGACTTCTGGAAAATAATTGGTCAATTATATATAAACTGGCAGTAAATGTATTTATTTTTAAAATAGATTTTTTTTCTGGCTTTAAAAAAAATTGGTTTTGATCTGGAGCTTGGAAAATGTACTGTGGATAACAGCTAAGCAGCTGCTAGCAGCTAATTGCAAAGAAAGAAAATTATATTTTAAAAAGGTTACAAACAATTTTTTAAAATAGAGAATGAAATGTTTATAGTCAGCTTTTACTACTGCTGAATGTCTGTCACTTTTACCATTGTGTGGTGTATTGGGGTGATAAAAGAACAATGAGCTAAATCAACTGTAGGTATAGCTTTTATGGGTGGGAATGTAGGTAGCAGGTGATCTATTCCAAATGGTAAGACATTGCTAGAAGCAATAGGATGTGCCTAAAGTGACCATAATATTTGTTGGACCAAGACTTGACATTTTGATAAAAGGGACTCGCATGTGATGGAGTGACCACTGGCAAGCAGCCTGTGCTTGATGTGCCACAGCCCTTTTCTATATTTTTTCTGATACAGGAAGGAGGAGTGAGAAAAAGGACCAACAGTCAGGCGTGTAGGAGAGCCACCACCATCCTGTTGGAAGACAGCAGTTCCTGCTGCAGGACACTGGTGCCTTTTTTTTTTTTTCTTCCTCACCACTTTAAATCAGCTCTGTAGAAAAGTCTTCTGTGTGCCATGTCCACTGGTAGAGGTAAATGCAGTTATAAATGTGTGGCTTGCAGGTAAGCCTTGCTCTCTCCCTGGCACTGTGCCCTGCCATGTGTGCCATTTTCATTTTCTTCCCTAGTCCATTGCTGTACCCATCCTTACGCACAGTGTGACCTTTGCAAACTTCAGGTAAAGGCACTTAGGTGAGACCAGAGCCACACGCTAACCGACCTTCACAGAGCAGAATTTATTGCTGCTTTATTTCCCTTCTGGTAAGCTTCTTGCAGTTGACTCACGATGTTTTCAGCCGTAGGATTGAGGTGGTAAAGACAACTTGATACAGTTATTTTCTTTTCTATGCTAATGCCCTGTCTTACAGAGGGCATGAGACACTTTCACTTAGCATGAACCAGCACAGCTTCCTTGGTTTTAGGGCACAAGACCTGTTTACACCCGTTGGACACCCTTTCCTGACTGTGCCTGGAAGCACTGAGGGGTGCCTCTGGCTTTCATTTGCCTCACCAGAGCAGCCAATAATTAACCCATCAGTTGGCTTTAACATTCCTGCAATAGTTAAAATGTGCCAAATTTTTTACAAACAGGGTTTTTTTTGGATAGTCCATTTAACCACTTGAATTACTGTAAGTAACCAATGCAGTACTTGTTATTCGAGGTGATGACTTCCCAGACATGTACATACAAATGTGGGGTTTTGTGGATGTTTTTTCAGCTGTGACACAAACCTTTAAGAATTTGTTTTTAAATGGTTGCTGAATAGATACTTAACTTTATCACTTCTGGCAAACCAGCTGTCCACGTGGTTTCTTACTTTCGGAACAGTTTTCAGTTTGTAGGTCGCCCGTGTTGTGTGTGAGGACAGTGATTTATGCTGTCTCCTGGAGCGTATTTTCTTCTGTCAGGACAGAAACTGACGGCACCGAGAAAAATGCAGGTATGGCAGAAACATACTAGCGCTCATGATGTGCTCTCAAACAATATGGTAACTTACTTTTTGCCGTCTCAGTGTTAACAGTGAAGAGATGGTGAGCACTGCATTGAGTGCTAGGATAGGCTCTTAAATGAATTTTGAACAGGAGGAAAATATGAAAAATTGTGGTTAACTCCATAGCTTTTAAAATATGCAATTCAGCTGCTGATGAGCCCAACGGTGGTGACTGAGGGATGACCTGCAATTTATTCCAGAAACCAATGCCCCCTACTTGACAGGTGACACTTTCACATCCAGTGAACACGGCTGTGTCCTGCTCAACAGCCAGCGGTTCTTGTTTGCTATTTCCAGACCTTGCTTAGTAGTTGTAAGTCAACCCCAGGCATGAGGTTGTAGCACCAACTGGGATCACAGTCTTGGCAAATTCGGCTACATTCAGTGCTTTTTAAGAGTGCATGAAATCATAGCCCTGCAAGTGGGGCAGCAAGCAGGAAGAAGCCTGCAGGCTGCTGTTGCCCTAAACTGCGTTATGAGGTCCGAGTTCATGGATGAGTGACTGCAGTTGCACACTAGTCCTTTGCTTTTAAACAGATTTTGCAAGTAAAGGTGTCTGCTGCCATGTTCCAGTGTGAAATGAGGGTGTTTTAGAAAAACAAAACAAAAAAATCGACAGGTGTTCCTCTGCAAAAAGCCATGCCAACGCAAAGTGTTTGCAAACTGAAGTTGTTTGCGTTGATTGCAGCAGGGCCCTGGTTCTTTGCCATTCTACATTTGCTAATCTCTGCCACCTTTTTCCCTTTTAGCCTGTGTGACGGTAAAGGCAGGAGCATCAGTTAAAGGCGTAAGCCAGCTGGTGTCTTGGAAAGAAATGTGCAAGGCCAGATGTGAACACTGAGCAGCTTTGTTACTACCTGTCAGACTGGGCTGATTAAGAAATCCTGTAGCAGTAGGACTGAGACTGCAATTCCAGCTTCCCCCAATGACACACCCAAGGGAATGTTTAGGGTATTACATACATCTAAGGCGCTATTATATAGACACAAACACACACACACACACATATATATTTTGCTTTGCGTATGTGTGTTGGCGGTAGGGTGTTGCACTAGATGACCTCTTGAAGACTTGTCCAACCGCACTTTTTCAATGAGTCTATGAATAAGGGAGACTAAAAGCTGATTAACAGGGATGTGAGGTGAAGGCAGCCTCACCAGCTTATTTCATGTATGGTTCCCAGCACTAGTCCAGTGTTCAGCCCTGGGATGACTCTGAAAAATCCTCCTTCTAGTCAATAGCTGCCAGGTGAAGGATGCAGACCTGGGGGTGGCTAGTCACCTGAAGAGAAGGGCTAGCAAATAATCTGCATGCTAGACTTAACAACTATGTGTCATGCAACAGCTTCCAGTTACACACTGCCCTGTGGCTCGGAGTCTGTGCCAAGGAGTCCTACAACACTGTAGACTTCTGTGGTGTTCCCCTCTGGGAGCTGGGTCCTGACTCACACCCTTCCTGCAGTGAATGTATATTCATTTTCCAGTATGTGTTTCCTGCAAGGAGGCCCATGAGGGGCAGTTAATATTTTTAAGTAAGTATGTATGTGCTCTGTTCTTTTCAACCAGGCTGGTTATGGGTTGATATAAATTCTTGCTGCATTAAGAATATGTCCTAGGTTTTATTGACTACATTTGTGTCAGGCACTGTTAAAATGCTCTGAGTTGGCCAGTCTTCGTGCCTCTTCTATTTTTTTTTTTCTTCAAGAAGGGCATGAATTGCTTACTTAGAATGAATTTTTAAAAATAATGAGTGAGAAAATAGCATGTATGTGAAGGCCCTATAGAAGTGTGGTACATCTGTTTCAAGGCACAGAAGCGCAGACTGCATCCGTAAAACAACTGTGACATTTGTATCTCTTTCCATTCTGACTGTATAAAAGAAAAAATTTGCCAAAATAGCCATTGTGTGACAACCACCAGTAAGCTTCATTTCCAAATGTGAAGTCATTTGTACTTTGCAGGGCTGCAGAATAGGCCTCTTTGGAGGAGAGGGGGAGCATCACACAGAAGTAGCAGCTTGTGAATATTTGGCTTCTGTGAGTCACTGGAGGAAAAAGCATCCACAAGGATGGTAGACTGACAAGCTTAATGGAAAGGAAACCCACTGAATATAAGGAAACCAGGAAGAAATGAGTTCTTGTATTCTTTCCCCAAGCACTTGCTTTTGGCCATGGTTGGAGTCAAGATACTAGCACTGATGAACCTTTTGCCTGACAGACATAGCTGCTCTTGCAAGACCGCTGTGTGCAGAAGGTAAATGTGACCAAGCTCCCATCTGTGACACGAAGCTAGAGACAAGAAGGTGGCAAAGAGCTTCAGAAAGGTAAAACATATTAAAAAAGCATCTTTTCAATCCTATCAGAGCTCTGGCCATGGTTTCTGAACTACTGTGACTTGGCAAGAAAATTGAGAAAATTCCCCACATCAAGGTCTGAGTGCTTAAATCTATGCAAGTTCATAGCCCGGGCAAGTACTCCTCTTCTGGAACACTACAAAAAATAGTGTGAGTCTTGAAAAGCGAGTGTCCCTCCATACTGACTGTCCTACATGTGAACTAGCCAGACTGGTTAAAGCTTAATTAAAGTGGCCAGAGTGGCTAAATTCTTTCCTAAGTGCAGCTGCAAAATGTTAGCTGTGGGCATATTTTAGGCCTTAATTAGTAACACTTGCACTGGAGGACCAAAATCTTTCATGAATGCAGCTGCAATCAATTAACATCAGTTAGGCATTTCTGTAGGCAATACAAGGGTCTCTTGAAAATTGTTTTAGTGCCCACCTAGATTAAAAAAATTAAAAATACTTATATGCAAGAAACTACAAAATCAAAGATAACTACAAAATGTCTTTATTGAAAAAAGCAGATTATAGCATCTAAGGTTAAATGAAACTTCTGACTTTAATATTAAATAACTTAGGATGATAGCAAGTAGCTTCTTCTTTAGATAAATAAATCTACATTTCCCAATTTTTTTCTTCAACAATCAAGGGAATCAAACACTGAAACACAAAACCACAAGTAATTCTAAAGACTAAAAGACAGAAGCACATTGAAAGGTTTTACAAGGATATATATACAAAAATAGTTAAACTAATGTATATTTTCAGCATGTAAACTAGTTACATGATATACAAACTGGGAATTTATATACTTCCTACAAAATAAAAATCAACGTTGGTCCAAGTTCTTGGAAGAAAACTATATTCTTTTAAAGAAAACGAAAATATTTCTCAAATGAAAACTTAATTTAAGTCAAATTATATACTCTAGTTACGGCATTAGTTACAGGATGAATCACAAACTTTTAAACTTTTCTTGAAACACAAGAAAGCAGCTTTTGTCTCCTTTAGAGCTTTGGTTTACTTAACTACTCTGGAATTTCTGGTCTTAAAGAGCTCCTCTAACCATGTTTTCCTTTTGAAGCTCCACCTTACAAAATATATATATATATATATATATATACACACACACACGTGCACACAAGTGAAAGGAAAATGAAAGAAACCCAAACAAACCCTCTTTGAAAGCTCAATTATCTAAGTGCATTCTTTTGTTTTGTTTCCTAATTACTATTTTGGTCCTTTCTTTGGAATGCATCCTCTAGTGCAGGGGGGACTCTGACTCACCTACAACAGCTTTGTGCTGCAGGGACTTTGTCAGATTCCTTACCGAAATGGAAAGGTGTAGTCCCGATGCAAATGAGGACAAGTTGTTATTGTTTCAACTTTATGGAAATATTCTGAAAGTACAGCAAAGGCTTCTGAAGAACAATCCCATCATAAAATGAACTCTAGTAAGTTTACATCTGTGTTGAACTGATTTAATGTAAGAATACTCCTTAAGAAAATCATTAAAAGAAACTCATTTATGTAATTCCCCAGACAGGAGGTAAAATGTGGAGAAACTGTCACTAGCACTAAAGAGTACAGCACATCATTATTTTAATTTGTTTTTATTTTTCTCTTTGATTGGAAAAAAGGAAAAAAAAGGCAAATTTCACTCTAGCTCCAGTTTTTATATTAAATGTCGGAAAAGCAAAGCTGTACTTCATTATACAGTAATGGAATGCACCTGTCTAGAAAATACTGGAACAACTGCTGCTTTCTGGTTTTAAACAAATTGCTTATTCTATAATGAAATATTACCTTTTGATATTTTTATCATGATGATACTTAACACATTGGAACTGAATAGAATTAAGAGAGACTGACAAATTAACGTGTGAAATGAAATTAAATATTATTCTGTTCTACAGTATGATTGTTTTCAGAAAAGAAGAAAAGGTATGATATGGTATGTACATGTTAGATAGTGTGCTGTCCCTTGGAAAGTATATTGGAGTGGAAGCTTAAACTTGCCACTGAAGGAGGCAAAGCAAGAAGGAAGGTAGTGGCAGAAGACTGGGCTGAATGCCAGAGTAAGTCACCTCCATCTCTGACCACTCTGATTTAGGAGGTTTTGCTTCTATACTGGTAGAGCAAAGCATTTTTCCAGTACAGTGAGTACTGTTATGGGATGATTTGCTCATGGGAACAGACCTAAACCTTCTCTGTGTGTATTAATGACTGTTTTCTTAATTTGTGTTCCTTAATACATATCGTAAAGACAAGCAAGTAAAAATGCCTCAAAGCTAAATGTGGTCCAAAGCAGCTTCCTTAAATGGAAAAAGTATTACATTGCAGCTGATGCTAAAAGTTTATCCTGCAGCTCTGATATCTTCCATGTTTGTAATAATCTTAAGGAATTTGCCTAGTCATACAATACAATTTAGGACAACTTTTTTTTCCCTTTTCTAGCATTTGCTGTTTGGGCAAGAGGCACATGTACTTCCGCTTCCTTCTGAGGCTGGGCTGGTGCCTATGGACATTGAGGTAATGTTTACAAATGGAGAAAAAGTGTGCATGCACCCAATGTCCTCTCTTTTGCAGGCCAGTACTCTTAGGTCACACTGCAGAAATGGGGCACTAATTCTTTCAAAACATGGCTATCAAATTAAATATGTTAATTATAAACTGATATATATTAATTAGAAAATTACTTTTTAAAGGAGCATCTGACTTGCCAACGAGTATTCAGTAGGGCAGGTTAATCTAGGGCAATGGAAGTTTGGCAGAAGTTCAGGAAACATACCTTTTGTTCCATACTAACAGAAAAAAAAAGTAGTTCACAGGAATTTTTCCTGCCACCCACCCTTCCCCCATAAGGAAATTCCAGACTATCAAAAAGTTCTGTTAAGGGAGTTAATTATTCCACTTAGGAATTAGTGTCCATTGGATGCTCTTTGTACTTTTCAAGAGCACCACAAATGGCTTTCAAAAAGTCAGTGGAGCATAAGAAACTAAACTGCAATGGTGTTGCCAAATAAGTCATTTCATCAGTCTGTGTGCTGAATTTAACATGGGATCATTTCTGAATGGATTGGTCAGATTCTCAATGTGTTGAGAACTGGCATGAAAATGTCCCAATTTACACATGTAGAGAACCTGGTCTGGTATTTCCACTTCCTCTGGAGGAGAAGAATTTAATTTTATTGTAATTTTGGATACAGTTAAAGACAGCAATGATGGATTTACTTAAAATATAAATTCAGGAAGGCTGGATCAATTCTCATGAGAATGCAAGGAATTTTTTAAACATACAGATGTGTGATTTGCATGTAAATCATCAACACATGGTAGAAAACAAACCATAAAAAAGATTCATCTAACTTCCTATATGGAAGACATGTATTTCCCCAGAGCTCTGAGGTTACTGTAAAAGCTTATGCAAAATATGAAAGTGTGTACATTCTATGTACATCTAATACTTGTTATAAAATACCAACGTTTCAATGGTCTGACTCTCTAAATTATTTCTGCTAAACTGTACTTTGTTTTCCAATGTAGACAATCACCATAATCAGTTCAAAAGTACATCTAGAAAAGAACACAAAGCTGAAAAGATAATACAAAAACCACTGTCCCCCTCTTTTTTTTTTTTTAATAATGGATCAACATACAATCAAAGCAGTTGGTAACAAATGAAGTCTTGTATAAAACAAGTAGTATAGACAAGTGTACCTTTGCATAGAAAGGGGCTGCTAACCCTATTAAACAAAAAAATAGGTTTAAAAGATGAATTCTTTACTAAGTGCCAAATCATCAAGTTGATATGAACACATTTTGAAACCATGGCTATGTGTGTACATGGCAAGCAATTACAGAGGTCTGTAACTTTCTTCAATTGTTACGACTTTCATGACAATTATGTGACTTTCTTCAATTGTTATGGGCATGTTCCAATCTTTTGGATATACTCCTCTGTAATGGCATTTTTATATGAGATGCTAACCATATTTCTTTAACAAGCTAAATAGTCTTTGGATGACTGTGGAACCTTGTAGGATGGAAAGCTGGCCTGACACTTCTTCACAGAATGCCATTATCTAACCCATGCTGAAAGCTGTCCTTGCTAAAAACACTTGTTTGCCTCCTATTCACTACACTTCTGGGAATCTAAGTTTTAAAAAATGTCAGACTGTATTCTCTAAGACCAGAATTCAACAAAACTAGCTAAAATGCTAGCGTTTATCTTATCATGTTTGCTGCAATATGATAAGGTGCTAACTTTTGAAAAGTAATTCTACACTCCTTACTTGGGTGAAATTTCCACTGAGGGAAAGCAAGTAAGGAGTGCAGAACAGCCCTTTGTACCACTGTTTTTAGAAATGCTGTCACTTACAGTTATAGTTTAGTGGTGAATTATTTGTTCAAGTAGACGGTGTCTCAGTGAAAATGTCTAGATAAAAGAATGCGTATGTACAAGATCAGAAAAGGACCCCTCACCTCTGATTTAAAAAATAAATAGCTGGTTTAGATGGTTATTACTGGAATCTCATCTTTAAAGGAACAGGAAAGTATTTTTAGATTTTTGTCTTCTCTTTCAAACGGCTTGTTGGTATAGGAAATGTCTTTCAGAGTTCTGTGACATGCATTGGATAGCTCGGAGGTGGATGTGATGGCAGTTTAATATTAAGGCGCCTGATATGACAGCTGTGGCAGAGCAAGTGGCCCTCTAATGGGTAACAACGATGGCCTTCCTCGTCATTGAGCTGCAAGCCACAATCCTAGAAAAAACATGCACATCCCAGATTAGTGATTCAGGTAGGTCATCTTACAACAATACTGATCCATATAACCCTGAGAGCTCCTTCCCATGCCTCCAATGACTCATGAGTTTTTGGTAGGTGGACCCTGACTATCTCACATAAGTAAAATGACATCGCTGAAATCCAACCAGACAGTCTATAAGAGTACCCAGCATTTTTTTCTCCATAGTTTTCCCATTCTGGTCTCTTCTTCATCTAATAAATGTTGATACAAATCAGACAAAAACATGCCAAGGACTGACCCTGACACATACAACCTGGAAGAGGTTAGAACAGAGGAGGAGCTAATTCTGCAATGCGGCAGTGAGCAAGAAATGGGGGAGCATAAGTGGAGAATGAAAGGAGTGGGCTGGAGGGAGAGATGAGACATGTTACTGCTGAAGCAGGGCTACACTTTCTTTTACTTGGAGTTAAAAAAATTAAAGACTTCAAGGCTAATGGTCCGTCTTTAGTGGAAATACGTTAGTACCTCTGGGGCCAGCACACAACTACAGGGACAACGGGGGTGAACAACAGTGGAAGAACAGAGTGATGATCCCGCCTGCTGACTATTATGCACACTGCAATAGAGGAAATCTTGGTTTGCAGTTGTCATCATTATAATTGAGGATGTTTTAAAGCCATGACAGTTTTGTGCTTGGATTTGATGTTTCAAGTATGTTAAATACTTAGAAATTGTTACTGTGACCAGTCCTGACATACCAGAGATTCTGAGTATGTATTTGTGCACTTAGAAAGGGAAAAAAAGAATTGAAAAAGTTGGGAATATAGGTCATTTTAGTATTGAAAACGGATGAAAAGGTTTTTTTTAGTTGGACACCGAATACAATTCTTCAGGTTTCATAGCTCAAGTTAAAATCCTCAAATTTTACAGTGCTGAAGTAAGAATGAAAACTGGGTTTTGAAGTAAGCTTTAAAACTGAGCGTTAGTTTAGGGAGGCTTTAACCAGAGTTTCTGCCAAGGTAGTTTTCCGTGTGTTATTATATAACATATAATAACTTTATAGTCCTTTATGTAAGATTTAAAATTCAGTTCCTCATTCGAACATAACCATTTCAGATGCCCTACAGATGTGCCAAGTGTTCATACCTTTTTCCCTCTCCAAAACTGTATCTCTTTTCTGCAATGAGAAAGCCTGCCTTCTCAGTGGATTTCGGTTTTAGAGTGGGGGTCTACTGATCTGTAAACCAGCTTCAACTTCTCAGCAGAAGTTAAGTGGTTGCACAGGAAAGAGATGATACAAAAAAGCAGCAAAGTTTGCAAACTGACTACTGACTCTGCATGGCCACCAGGTGATGATGACATTACCAGCGTTTCAGAAGTGACCGTGTGAGTCGTCACAGCCTTTGCAAAAGTCTCCATGCAAATACCTCAAAATACCAACACTAACTTTTTCAGCAGTATTTGGAGAGAGCAGCAACGCAGTGTGTACAGTTTCAGAGCCCAATTTAAGACCATTAGGCAGTAACCTACCCCTCTTGCCACGTAACTAACCCCCTCATTTCTGTACATAAATGCACTCTGCCATTCTGGGCAGATGTGGAGGCAGCTTGATTTGCCTCAAACTGGAAGGAGAATGGGGAAATGAATAATGAACAGAACTGAAAATAAACCCCCATTGGGACATTCTAATATAAAGTCAATAGCCTGTGAGAGAAGGGGAGGGAGCTGTCATCTTAGGTGAAGCCTGCACAAAGCAATAGATGGGGGAAGAAGGAGGAGGGAAGTACAGCTCTCCGAAATGCTGTGATTTCCTGTGCCAATTTATCTTTAAAAATTAATGGAAAAGGATGGCATATCAGGTATCTTGTTGGAAGGCAACAGCTGAGTGGACGGGGTCTTCCTTACATTTAAGTTCATATACATTGCAAGATGACCTGAGTTTTGTTATTTTCTCTCTCAACTGGAAGTGCCTTTGTAAAAACCTTTTTGTGCAAAAGTACATGGAAGATAGTATTGCTGTATTTTGCCTCTGCTGCTAAGACAGTTAGGTAGCAGTTAGGATCTGTGTGGATATTTGCATGTTATATCAGTTCGTCAAATTTAAAACAAATGCGAAGTTTTAGGCTGATCCCAAATGAAAGAGTTTGTTTCCTTCCTTGTGCTCCTGGATGCAGAGCTAGAACTGAACTCAAGCTCTCTTCTTCAAAGCAAAAGCACTAATCCCACAACTTGATCTGCCCCAATAAATGTTTAAAGGTTCAGCACAAAAAAAAGAAACTACTCCCCAAAAGGGACAGAAAGTCAGTGGTACCCCTGTCTCTTTTCTAGTAAAGAATCAATATTCATTCAGCATGGAAAAAACACAGATCCCCTAGAAAAGCTGTCCAGTGGAGGAGCAAGGGTCCCTCCCTGCACAGGCCATGTGAACTCAAGTCTCCTCAGATCAGAGCCATGCACGGCCAATCCAGAGATCCAGGAAAAAGAGAACTGGCACCTACTCTTTGATCTCTCCCCATCTGGAAGTATTGAGAAAATTCAACCTAATCAACCAAACCCAGCTTCTGAAGTTAATATACTGGGGGTTAAAAAAAGAAACTAATTTGATACTGGAGATGGCAGCACCACTTGCATCCCAGCTAGCACTGCCCTTGCCTCCCTCCAGGAGCTGTGGGGCAGAGCCCAACCTGCCCAGGCACGCAAGAGCCAGCAAGTGCACCCCGGGGTGCGAGTCGGGCACCTACCAAGAGGCTGCTGGTTATTAGCAAAGCCTTGCCGTGGGGCAGGCTGGCAGAGGCACCTGATGCTTACCTCGCAGTGATAGCACTCCACATGGTAGTCTTTGTCCATTGACACCACTCGAATGGTCTCCTCAGAGCCCTGTTGGGGAAGCAGAGAGAATGTAAGAGTGAGCTTGTAAGTGGCGTTTTCTCAATCTTCTTTCAGTGCCCAAGCTGTTGCCCTGGGGCATCCCCTCTTACTCCTGAGAGCTGAGCTCTGTGACCACTGAGGGTCTTGTCCCCTGGTTGTACTCAGCACTGCACCACTGGTTGTGCTGTTTAGCAGCAGTCTGGATGTCTGACATAACTAAGCTGTAGAGGTCATTGGGCAAGTGTAGCCAACACTTCATCCTCAAGGGACAAATTAGTCTTCAAATAAAATAATTTTCCAAGGGCACCCAGGATCTAAATGACTTACTTGCTTGGGTTACTTTTTCTTGTAGACATCCTGGCCTGAGTTTTCCAGAACTTGTAGTCCCCTCAAACCATCTGCTGCACAGCTATTTTGCACATGCACATGTCACTGTATGTACCCCATAAGGAATTACATACCAGTCCGGCAGGTAATTATGTGCCCAGGCCAAAACCTCAGCATGAGGGTGTTGTGTAATTCCTGGCTGAGCCTCAGGCCCTCCAGAGCAGCCCATACCCTTCTTGTAACCTCACACACTCTTTCTCTGATCCATGCTGAAGCCTCTGAAGACAGAGCTCATTAAATTTGTTGCCTTGCATTGTTTCCAGTTCCAGGTGTGGTTAGAGCATCAGATATGACGTACACTATGTCTGAGAAGCTGTGGGCATGTTAGTACCTGCACTGCTACACTGCTAGACTTGAACTAACCTAAGATACCTCCATGGGAAAGAACGTGTAGTCCCTCCTGCTAGCCATGAGATGAGTCAGCAGTAGGACTGCTTTTCTTTTTTCTTTCTTTCTTTTTTAAAAAAGTAATTTTGTAGGACAATGCAGCAAAATTTACATAGGGGTTTTCTCACATCCCATCACCAGGACAAGCTGTTCAGGCCCAGCCTTTATAAGGTTTTTAATTATGCGAGAGCTGGTCATTTAACAGAAATAACGATGACAAATGAGGGTAAGGTGCAGAGTGATGGAGGTGGGCATGCTTAGAGGCTCTAGCCACAGGCTTTACTGGGGCACAGCAGGATACAGGATGCAAACTCTGGCTCTATAACCATGACAAGAGGAAAAGGAGGGAGGCACTGAGGCCCTTGCTTTACAAATAAGCTGGTCAGTGACCTCAGCAATGGGAACTTACTTAGAGGGTCCTGCACCCACCAGAGTATGAGGGAGCACCACTGCAGGCAGGCAGAAAAGGCATGTCTTAATGTAGAAGTCTTGTCATGCTAACTATACTGTCAGGACAGGCTGAGGTTGCAAGCAGGTCATTCACCTGGCTTCCCTTTTAGCCGACTGCTGGCTTTTCCACCCCTTTACGCACTTTCACTTCATTGCCACCCCAGGAGGACAGACTGTGTGGCCTCTTCACAGGGTCAGGGTAACCCTCAGATGTCTTTACAAGTTTGGGCATCTTAACAGATCCACATCAGAAATGCAAACATAGCAGACAAGGAAAATTACTACTTGAGCTAATGGGAGATTCTAAAAATAAACAGGGCTTTACTTATTGGGTTGTTCTTGGAGCCCCAGTCAGGGCTTTCAATTAAATGAGATTTATAACAGCATAATTAAGACCTGGAAAGCACCCTAAAGATACAAAGTACTATGCTGCATAAGTAGTATGATTATTACAACCTCTGGGAATGTTTGGGAGTGACATTATTGCTGAACTGTGTTTAATTTAGTATCTGACATCGTATAGATTCTGGAAGAGGGAGAAAACACAGCTAATGTGTTTTTAAAAAGTGTTCATATGCCAACAACTGCTTTCTCTAAAGAGTCAGTGCATGTTAACATGTACCTGTGCTGGTAGGATCGGCTGGTTACAGGAAGCGCATTTTGGTGCAAAAACCCTAGGGTGCAAGAAGAAAGTGTTCACATCACATTTAAAGCTTTTAAAAAAAGTAGAACCAAGAGAGGTATTCTAACCATGCCTTGTTTTTAGCAAAATGTAGATCCACAGGATTTGAAACACCTCTAACTGTTTGCTGATATTCAGGGAAAAGGAGATTTGGAAAAGGCAGATTTATCCCAGCTTTATTACTTACATCTTTCTGACCTCTAGGCACAGTGAATCCAGCCCTTTTCCCACATATGCTCTTTCTCTTACCTTCCTTTACTCATAAAGTCATTCAAATTCTTCCAGAGACTCACCGCTTTGACTGCAAAGCAGCTCCCACCTTGGGGACTATCACTATCTGATGTCAGGAAGATATAACCTACTAAGTAGGAGAGGAGCTGATCTTGGCTAGGATCTACTTAAACCAAATACATCAACTGCTCTTATTATCCACAGCTGCATTTTACAACAATCACTGGGCCAACATCCACTCTATCCTTGTAACATGGTCAGCTTGGTACTAACAGGTTTGAGTTCAGAGTGTTTTACTGTGATGGATAAGCTGAGTTATTGGTTGACTGAAGCTAAGAGTGTTCATGTTGCCTTTGAGCAGGAGCAGAAAGGAATCCAAAAGCAATCACTTAAACCACAAAGCTTTTTGTCAGGCGAGGCTAAAATCCACTAGCTGCCAAATGACATGTCTACTATCCAGCCTAGGTTAACCTAACTTACGTGCACCAGTGTCACGCATTACCGGAACTTTGACTCTTAGAAACAGCCAGCAGAACCTACTGTTACTTGCAGAATTATCCTGATCTAATTAATATTGAAAGCCCTGAAAGATGTAGAGATATGGCCACCAGAAAAGTACATCCTCTGACACAACTTGATTTTCAACCTCACCTGGCCACTGTATACCACAGTGGGCCCATGAAGTGACCTTTTAATGCAACTTTAAAATACTTTACAAATGCAACAAGCGAGAGCAGCACTTCAGGGACATCTAAGCAAATAGGAATGACCCTTTTTATCTGCTACAAGGCTTATAACTGTATCAATAATTTAACTACTATAATTTTTCCAAGCACACAATCAATTTGCACACTTACGTATGGTAGTCTTTGACACAGTAAATATTGTTTTCCACATCGACAGTGAAAGGGACTCCATCCAAGCACTCATTACACACCACGCAGCGGAAGCAGCCAGGATGGTAGGACTTTCCAAGGGCCTGTAAGATCTTAAGAGGCAAACAGCAAAATAAGTGGATGCATGATTACATGAGGCCCGTGTCCCGTCCCCCCCATACTGCTGTATCTGATTCTTAATAATGACAGTGAGAAAAGTGCTTCAGGATGAAATTACCACTCTGCAGATCTGTCAGCAAGGGGCCTTTTAAAACAATCAACTTGCTTGTTTCAGTGGGTTTCAGTAGGCTCCAAATAAAGAGGAAGAACTGTGAAAATCAGGCTAACGCCCATAAGCCTTAGCTCTGCAGGGCCAATACTGCCAACAGAAATTAAAAACAGCTTCAGAGGCCATTTCTTGGAAAATCTGTTGCAGCCAAATACAAGTTACTGGGATACAGCGTTAATTCACAAAACTTAACAGGCTCTAACAAACAGAATCCAAAGCAGTCATTACTCAAAAAGTAAAATAACAAAACAAGCAAATAAATAGGTGTCCCTTTGTTAATTAAAGATTCTCATCCACCACAGTTACCGACAAGTTATCACTCAGTCATAGGGGCCCACTGGTTTCTGTTAAAATTCCACCTGTATCCATGTGTTTGGATACAGATCCATCCATCTGCCCAGGCTTTTCCCATGCTGACCTTCCGCTACTGCGTTTTAAACGTTTCACAACCTGACACAGACTCAGCTATATTGCTACAGAGCTGATCCCCGCCCTCCCGGCATCCTTGTATGTAACACTCAGCGTTGCACTGGGACATCAAGGAGCGGGCAGCCAAACCCACCAACAAGCCTTTGGGAAGAGTGAGCCATAGTACCACCTTCAGGCAGCTCTCAACAGGTTACATAGCACCAATTGCGTACATTTCAGGTATGAGAAACACCTTTGGAAGGTGATTTCAAAAAGTATCTGCTATCAGCAGGGCTCAGCTTGGAGCTGTTAATAAGCTGGAGATGACAAATCTCCGCAGGCCAAGTGCTCATGGTCCTGTAGATGATTCTATGAATAAAGATCAAATCAACAGGAAATAAGAAGTGGCACCTGGGAAGAATGAACAAAGTCAATTTAATTAACCTTTTTTTCCCCTGCTAATGAAGCCCTATAGCTCTCCGTTCAGTAAGTGGCATCAGACCCCATCTGGTTTGCAGTCCTGTTCCTGGCCAGAAACTACTCATCTCCGTGCATGTGTGGCTGTCTAGGCAGCTACACAACACACGCAGTCAGCCTGGTGTGGCTGTGCAGGGTGACACACACTGTCAGCGTGGTGTGGCTGTGCAGGGTGACCCACGCAGTCAGCCTGGTGTGGCTGTGCAGGGTGACACACGCAGTCGGCCTGGTGTGGCTGTGCAGGGCGACACACGCAGTCGGCCTGGTGTGGCTGTGCAGGGCGACACACGCAGTCGGCCTGGTGTGGCTGTGCAGGGTGACACACACTGTCAGCGTGGTGTGGCTGTGCAGGGTGACACACGCAGTCGGCCTGGTGTGGCTGTGCAGGGCGACACACGCAGTCGGCCTGGTGTGGCTGTGCAGGGTGACACACGCAGTCGGCCTGGTGTGGCTGTGCAGACACCCCCTTGCACAGGGCAACCCCTCACTCAGCTGCACTTCCAGCCCTGAACAGCTTCAGCGCTCTGCTCCTCAGCTGTGCGCGGGCACCACTGGTGGCGAGGCACAACCCTTGTATGTGCGCTCCCAGGGAGGAACACGGAGGAATTAGCCAAAGAAGACTGCTTAATTCCTGGAGCTGTTTCCTTTTGTCAGAACACACTTGCTGATGAGAGAAAGGCAGACAAGCACCTGCCAAGCTTCCAGCTACTGAGCTCCACCAAGGAGATATTATGGACTGGTGCCTGGGATTCTGCAATTAAGGGCCAGCTCAAAGCATGCAAGTCAGGATACCCCCACCCCCTCCCAGCATGACACAACTCTAGAAATTTGCTCTTGGGCTAAAACGAACAATATCCTTGTCCAACCAGTGGTGCCAGGATATAAGCCAGAATCCTCATTAATGAAGTCTCCATTCCAGCTTCTACTGAACCTCAGTTTGCAACGCAATAGCTACTTCTATTAGGCATATTGAGGTTAATACACATTTTAAAACAAGGAAAATAGATCTACTACACAATCTGCACTTCTTCAACGTGCAAGCCACTTCATTTTGTTTGGGAATTCCTGCTTAGGAAAAACAGATTAAATTCTTCCTACTTTCACTCAGTGAAACAGCGCCAGCAGTATCTGGCCCAACCCATAGCCCTTTGATATTTTTATTATAAAAGTAACTCTGCTGGCTCCCTACAAATCCCAACAGCGATAATGCATTTTAACTGATGTGAAGCAAGTGGCAGAAGGTAAATAAAGCAAGTCGCAGAGCAGGCAACAAGCCTCAAGACTACTGATAATGTCCCTCTCTAGCCCAGATTCCATCCACTTCACAGAGCTCTTGTGATTCTACTGTCTTACAGAGCACAGCCTATTTTCCTTTACCATGTTCTCAGACAAAGCTGTGCTGCGGTTTCCTCCTTTAGCATTAAAATCCTATTTATCTTTTTTTTTTTTTTAAAAAAAAACCTGGCATGTGGCAGAGTAACAGCCTCCCATGATCTCAGGTAGAAAAGAAGCCCTACTTACTGTACTTAATTTTAATATTTTTGTTTATTTACTGCCTCTGTTTTGAAAATTACCTTAACAGCAGTGAAGACAATGATAGTCTGACTAGGGGAAAAGCACAATGTCTCACAACATGCTACCTAAAGCATGTGAAAAGCAAGCTACCCCGCAGTTAGGAATTTAGGTCTCTTACCATTTCCATTATGAGGTGTCCACAAACAAAGCACTTGTCCGCTGTTTGCTGAAAACCTGAATACTGTTCAAATGACAGAAAAGAAAGGATTATTAGTAGCCATTCCTCTAGCTGCAGAAATACCTTTTAAGTGAATGCTGTGCTATTTTCCAGCCTGTGCTGTATATGATCGCAAACTACAGAAGAGGTTTGGGAGACAGTGACGTGGAAGCCTTCGCTCTGCTCTTGCAGCATGCTCAGATACCAGCTTGGCCTCACAATCTACTGCAAGATTTCCATTGAGATCTCCAATGTAACAATACTATTTTAAGTTTGATTTTTATTCTTGAAGCCTATTTGGTGAGTTTGCGCTTGGTGAGCTACAATTAGCTTGAATTCACTCTTTTGGGGGTTGTTGTTGGGGAAGTAAACACCGTAAGATTTACTTCCTGCTCAGATTAGTGACCACATGCTTACTGACCTCAGATTTTAGACCTACATTTCACTCAGTGCTATATGCAGGCTAGAAAAATGAGGACAGGCCCAAGGAGGATTTCGGTGCTTCATGGATACCAAGCTTTTTATCCATGGAAGAATCTAAAAGTCCAGTCGAAGCAGCTTGGGCTCTCTGCACAATGTGGGCAACAGTAGGCTTCCTCAGAAAGATGATACACACACCAGCTGTCAGCCCGGGCTCCAGCCTGAGGAGAAAAACAGGAAGGCTGGGCAGGCCTGGCAGCACAATCCTCTCGGGTTCAGTGCCTGGGGCATGACAGCGGAGAGATACTTTGCCCGCTGGGGACCAAAGCTCTGTGTTCCCTGCCCAAGTGTTTTTGACCTTACTTTGTACTTGCATCCCCAAAGTGGATACTGTTTCAGATGCCAAAACCTGTCTTTAGCCTTATGTTTAGAGGTACATAAAAAATATCAAGGTTATCAGGCCAAGATGACTGACCTACCAAACAACTACCCTTACAGGCAAGAGGCATTTGCCCGGAGAACTCCAGCCATGTAATTCTGAAACTAGTATTTGCAGTGACTGAACTTTACCCTCACCCACTGCAGTCCCATATAAGCAAAGTGCTGCGTGTGCACTCTTTCCTGCCAGAGGGAAGGGGAGCCCAGTTATTTGTATGGTATTGCACAGCAGTGCTGGTTTCTGCAATTAAGGTTGTAGCAGAGCTCACCTGAACTGTACTTTAGCTGCACAAGATAAAAAACAAGGAACGGGGAGGATGAGTGTAAACTGGACTCTTCTCCCAGAGCACAGGTTAATCGGTTAAGGCATCTAATGCATCCTCAGAGGCTCAGCCCAACAGAGCTTACAGCTTGCTCCACTCCTCGCCTTGATTTAGTGGGGATTAACTGTCTCCTCACTTCAAAAGCCAGTGGGTCCCAGCCTAGAGCTGCCATATGTTTTCCTTTTTATCGGTGTGAGTGGATTACATGTTATTTCAGATCAATAGGTTGGAGACAAAAATATTGTTGCTATGCAACGAAGTGATTATGAAGGAAAAGGTCTTGAGACACATTGATGGGCCCAGGAAGTCAGTAACTGATGGTATGGCAGCTTGTCACAGCTCCAAATTCACTACACACTAGCAGCTCATGAAATCCTGAGAAACTCTGAAATTTCATCAAAAGAGACCAAGGTGTTGAGAAACAAATACAGAGGTGGGCAGTCTTAACTGGCTATTTCTGCAAAATACTGGGTTTTTTCTTCTTTTTATTGATGCAGAAAAAAAGGCCTTACTGCTTGAGATGCTTCTTGGCTGTATTGCATCTGAGTAACCATCCAGCTAGACTATTTCCTGAGGTTGTGAACTTGAGGGTTACTGGAAACAGGTGGGTAGGTCCTAGTGGCACAGACAGCAGAGGATTAACAATAGTGCAAGCCCAGCTAATTCTAAAATCCTGCTGGAATGAATTTACCAGTACCATATGGCTGTCATTTGATAAGGAATGCAAAGGAGCATTTACCCAGCTATTGATTACAAGGGAACATTATTGCCCAATAACAGAATGGCCTAGTGGTCAGATTAATGTCATTTATTGCTAACTAGATTGTCATAAATTACACTGCTTGCCAGAAAGAAAGGTTTTGCTGACACAAAAATCACTCTTTATATGACTAACCCTGTTAAATTAAAATCATGATTTGTTTTTAACAAGAGAATTGTTATTTGTCAAACACATCCAGAACTGGATTACCCAATTAAGAAGGTTTTGCAAAATGACAGTAAGTCTAATAGCAGTGATGAAATATTTCATGGGCTTGAGGAGCTGTCCTTTACCACTACACTATTCTCTTTTCTGATCACAGTATCGATCCCAGGCAAACTGGAGACCTGATTCAGAGAGATTAGGATTTTGGATACAGCTCTACTTGTGCTTTAAATCTATTTGGACTGGAAAGGAATAACAGCCTTGGATCCCAGCAGCACCATTTTCTACATGATGGTAGTACTGTGGACACTGCTGTTTAAAGGTAAACAATAAATTACTTTCTCTACATTTTTGTAGCTCACCTGTCAACTTCTGCTTTGCAGTGCTTGTTCTTAATTTGGAGAGTTCAAACAGGACTGTTGTGCTAAGTTTTCAATTTTAGAAGCAAGAGTTTACAAACGAAGCCTTAAAATACTAATTAAAATTGGCAACCTCTGTCTTTGAAGCACTTGATTATTATTAACCTTCACAAATCTTGTGTGTGCAATGAGAGAGAAGTTTTGACTTGCTCCAGACTGCATGTAAGGCAGAATGGCGTCTTTATTATCTCTCACCACACCCAGGAGCCTCCCCAGTGGTGAGTTTCCAGCATGGCTGGGTGAAAGAACCACTGGTCCCCCAGAGCTTGTGAACTAGGTAACTGCAAAAGAAGAGGAGATTATGTTCTACAGACTTGTAGCCTCTTTTAAGACTGACACAGAGGAGGGAAAAGAGCTTTTGTGTGCACACCAGCCCTCCCTCACAATCTGGGGACGTGAAAAACAGATTGAGCTGAAACAGTGAAATAATAAGAGGCTGATATGCAAGACCCCAATGGAGAAGCCAAATCACAGCTATGCTTCTGTACACATGGTATTTTATATACACAATTTCATTCAGGATGTAAGTACTGGGCTCATTTCTAGTCTTACTCTGTAAGGGGTTTGCATGTGCCAGGTTTTTTAAAAAAATAATAATTTGTTGGCAGACCAGTAAGATGATGTAAATACAGGCCAATCTCAACTAGACAGAAATGTTCGTAAGTCTACAGACAGTCTGTACCCCGGACAAATAAGCATGATTTTGAACTTTCCCCAACATTCATTATAGATGCTTATTAAACATATATAAAAACATTGAAAGAAGTTGTTATAAAAAGAACAGCTCTGAAATTCAAAGCTGAAAATGAAGTGTTACCCTTTACTCTCACTTCTGTGACTTAGAAATAAGATACTAGTTACCAGGAGCAAAGAAAACAAGTGCATGTTGAAGAGCGGGCATATTATTTTTCCAGATTTCTTAGTTTGGTCCCAACTCTTCTCCTGTATTTACCTTGTCCTTGACTTCTCTCCCAGGATAATAAAATCTCACTTTATGTGCATGAATCAAGAGTTTGTAATCAAGCTCCCCAACGATACTTATATAAAATAAGACTCTGGGAAACTAAATAAACCTTGAGAAATATGTTAATTATGTTAGAAACAAAGAGTAAAAATAAAGTAGAAGATTTGCCTGGCTGAACTTTTCTTTTGTTTGCTGTCCCATATACTTTGATTATCAAACAGGCAAAAAAAAATCTCTAATGATTCTGTCCAAGAGTCTTTGTTTCAATGTAAGAGGAAAACAAGTCCCCTTCTGTCCTGAATATTTAGGCCTGTTAGTGTCCTCCTGTGATAATCTTGGGGTTTATAACTCTTCTGTCTAATGTGCAATATATCCAAAAGAAATTAACAATGAATTTTGAGCATATAATGAACAATTATGCATGGAGGATAATCCCACCAAGTACTATGAGAAACAATTTCTCCTGTCTGCCCTCAGTGCTGTAACCAATCCTGGTTGTCTACACCGGGTCTTTTAAAGTTTGATGTTCTCATCATGATTTTAAAAAGAAAAACATTCAGAAAATAGCATGCCTGAAAAAGGCTTCAGGACCCAAAGTTTCTACCTTAGGCAATGTCAGATCTTTGAAAAGACATGTCGCTTCTCCTCCGCATGCCTAACCGTGCCCAAGGAGAGGCTGATGCACTTCCCTGCTGTTATGCACTCAACAAAACAAAACCTTCCTCCTGGAAACAGACCCTGGAATCTCATTCAGGCCCATTTTCTTCTTTGATGAGGATGTTCAAAACCTGCTAAAGGTTTGTGCAAGCAGATCAAGTGGGTTACATTTCAGTAGGTGTGGCAGTTGCTGCCCCGGTAATGGTATGAAGCCGTAAAAACTACAATTCCCTGTTACAGCACTGCGAAGTCACTGAACGTGCTTGAGATTCCTACTCTTTTATGCTTTAAGGGCTTTTGAGAGGGATGATCGGGAGTTTTTGCCAAAATGCTTCAGGCATTTAATTCTGAAAACTAATTTCTGAATTGGGTGCTATGCTAATAATGTATTCCAACCCCAGGCTGCCTGTAATCCCTCACAGACTCTCTTCTCCTTGGTTTCCCATTAGCAGAGCATCTGTCTTCTCGCTGCTTTATTGTTTGCTCTCTGCATGGGACCCTCAGTACACGGGACACAACAATGCAAGAAATTCACGGGATCACGTTAAGAGAGGGAGAAAATATCAAATTTGGTTTCATGCAGATAGGGTTTTGTTGTTGTTAGGTTTTGGTGTTTTTTTGTGTTTTTTGTTTGGTTTTTTTTTTACACACATATTTAAATGCAGTGATTAAACTGAACTGAACAAACCAGGGCCTTCTCAAGAACAAAGATACAGAGGCCCATGGCAGGTGGCAGAGATTAAACTGCAGGAAAATAGTCCAGAAATTTACTCTTCATCTCACTGAAACCTTTCCTATATCCTGTGGCTTCTCCCTGTCTTGCTGCCAGTGAGGAAACGCTACTGCAGCAGCTTATCTTCTTGCTTCTGAGTTTCTAC